TGCCTGCAGGTGGGGAACGCCTACGTCATCGTCTACTCCATCACCGACCGCCGCAGCTTTGAGAGCGCCTCGGAGCTCCGCATCCAGCTGCGCTGCGCACGGCAGGCCGAGGACATCCCCATCATCCTGGTGGGGAACAAAACCGACCTGGTGCGGTGCCGCGAGGTCTCCATTGAAGGTAAGCAGTGGGGAGGGGGGGATCTGGCTGACGGGGAACCCCGTGGGGGGCCCTGTGCCTGGGCTCCCTGCCCAGCTGCTTTCCCCACGTCTGTCCCCTCATCCCTGGATGTGCAGCTCCTGCCCCACATGTGGCAGCACCTGGGGTGCCAGTGGGGGCCATGCCCCCCTCCTTGCCCTTCCCTTGCAGAGGGCCGTGCCTGCGCCGTGGTGTTTGACTGCAAGTTCATCGAGACGTCGGCAGCTCTGCAGCACAATGTGGCCGAGCTCTTCGAGGGGGTGGTGCGGCAGATCCGCCTGCGCTGCGGGGGCAAGAAGGCCCACACGTGCCCCGCTCCTGGACAGAAGCGCAAGGAGAGCCTCACCAAAAGAGCCCGGCGCTTCCTCGACAGGCTGGTGGCCAGGAACAGCAGCAAAGTGGCCCTCAAAGTCCGCTCCAAGTCCTGCCATGACCTGTCTGTGCTCTGAGAGCTGCCACTGCCTTCCCGACCCTCCGCACATGCAGGCTGGGGACTCTCCTCTCTGCCAGCAGCGTGGCCAGCGGTTCTCCAGGCAGAGCCGGAGTGATGCGGAGGACATGGAGCTGTTTTAACCGGTGCTGAGGGATGCCCAGGGTGCTCTGGATCTGGCCACTTCCCCTCCAGAAGAGGGAACAAGTGGGGCCCATGGGTCCCCTGGGCTGCACCCATGGAGCAGCGGGTGGGGCAGGCCCCTCTGTGTGGGGTGGTGGGACTTCGGGAGGCTCCTGGGGAGCCAGGGGTGAGGGGTGGCCGTGCCCCGGGGCAGGGCTGCCTGCAGGGCTGGAGCGGCTCCCGATTTTTTTTGTGGCCAGTCCCAGTCACAGTGCCCATCCTTCACAGGGCAGCAGGGACCACCGAGGGCACCATCACGGTGTCCACCTTGAGGACACCCATCACCTGGCACCCCCAGCCCCTCTGCGCCAGGGCTTTGTGCCACGTCTCCCTGGCACCGGTGTTTCTTGGACTGAGGTTTTTCTGCTCTCTCCGTACTGGTGCAATGGGAAACCCCTCGTTCTGCAGAATAAACCACATCAGGGAGCTGCTGGTCTCTGCTGGGTCCCTGCCATGGGGAGCTGCGTCCCAGAGCTGCATGGCCAGATTCAAGCCCAGTTCTTTGCCTGCGGCCAGGGCAGAGGATCTGCCTCCTGCCCCAGCCAGGCCTCGGTGGGCTCCAGCTTCACCAGCTGAAACGTCTCTGGGCAGGGAGAGCCTCCCTCCAGGGTCACCTTTGGCCACCCTTGGTGGAAGTCCCGATTCCGCGCCTCAGTGCTTGCAGTATCATCCCCTGCAGCATCTCCCTGCAGAAACCCCCAGCCCACCTGCACCTCCCGGCTCCTGCCCAGCTCTGGAAAAGCCCCTGGCAAGGGCTGGGCTCTGCTGAGGCTTCAAGCCCCTGAGCACCGCGGGAGCTGCAGCCTGGGCAGGGAGCCGGGTGCCCGGTGGCTCCTGGTGCCCCGGGAAGGGGCAGGGAGGCAGGAGCAGAGCAGCCTGGCACAGCCGGGAAGGGACGTGCTTGGCTGCAGCAAGCAGCGAGTGACCCCAGGCACCTGGGGAGGCAATGGTGGAGCTGCCGGTTGTTTTTAGGCTGTGCTGCTGGCGAGCAGCCGGGACGCGGCAGGGGAGCCTGCTCGGCAGCCCCGGGCCCGGCGCCAGGGAGGATCAGCGGTGCCCTCCCTCCCTGGGTCAGGTCGGGAGTTTCCGTTCGTTCTGCATCTCGAGCATGGGGAGCTGCTCGGAGAGGGGGTCACCAGTGCAGAGGGGACACTGGGATGGGATGGCACCCTGTCCCCATGGGAAAACAGTCTCTGTGCGTGCAAACCCTGGTGAGGGCTTCTCCCCGCTGGCTCTGTCCCCAGGACCAGGGAAGCAAGCTCAGACTTTCCTCCTTGTTGCTCCCCGACCCCTTGCTGACCGCGGTGTTGCTGCTCTCCCCTTCCTGCTGCCCCAGCTCCAGCTGTTCTGCCGGGGCCCTGCCCTGGAGCTTCCCGGTTCCTGGTGCTGCTGAATGCGATGCTGTGGTTCACACAGCATCAGCCGCGCTGGGGACAGGGGCTGCACACCAGGGACAGGGGCTCCTTGCTGCTGCCGGTGCCTCCCACGGCT